GAGCAAGTGATGTAATGCTAAATGTTTCCAAATCTGTTCTGATGATGAAACAAACTAATCTACATCTTGAATGGCCTGATGGTGAGTACATTTTCAGCAAAGTTTCATTTTTGGATGAACTGTTCCTTTAACTCAGATTCACAGATTGACAAATTCTGAATATATAAAATATAATCAATGTATGTGCTGGTATAGCACATTTCACAACCAGTGGCTACTATGAGCTGATTAATTTTAATTCCCTCGTGCTGTGAATCAATAAGAAATGCAGTCTTCTGTAGATGTGCTGTGTCTATAAACTGATGCTCAATGACACCATCATTTCACTGAAAGCTCTCAACAAAACAGAACACTTCAACATTCAGTTCATCTCTGCACTGTTGTCTCCTTCAACCTCTGAGGAAAACTGACCATTTAATATACACTGTGTTAAATGGTCAGTTTCCCACAGACGTACATAAATAATGGTAAATATCAATTGAGAACAGAATGTTTTATTGTGAATCATTTCCAAACAAGAAAATAATATGGACAGTGAAGCTTGGCATTTTATTTATTTATTCAGTTCTAAAACTTAAATTTCTTAATATACTCAATACATCATGAAATGTGATGGAAACGTGTTAATGAAAAAGACATATGTATATATATATATATATATATATATATATATATATATATATATATATATTTTATTTATAGGCTACTACAATACAGCCTATCTGTGGAGTTGAATTAATAGAGAGGGCGCCACTATCATCTTCATAACCATCATATTTTAAAGGGGCGGTAGAGACTGTCTAATGTACATTTATGATAGGTGGTGTCACCACTGAATGTGCTTCACATTTCACTCATGAACCAACCTTGGGAAAACAATTTGATGACAGGTTATTAGTAGCCTATTTGCTTTCCATGTAACTGGATGGATGTCGCGGAATGTGCGTGTTCACAGTAATGCCTGCAAAAGACCCGCTTATCGAAACACTTAAAGGTACGTTTCATGTCCTATATGTTATCATACACTTAAGGTTGTACCTGAGCTTCGCTGTGCTGTTTTACTGCTCAGTTGTTGTTCTGATCAGGCAGCTGAAGATGACAGGCCGTGAGGCAGCTTCTGCTCGCTGCAGAGAGACAGAGAGCTAGCATACTTGTTTTGCGCACTCAGACAAGCCATTTTGAATTATTAATATGGGATCAACTGATTGGAAATTATTTTTAAATGAATCTGTGCTGAGTTAAACTTTAACCTTTTCCTATACCAACTGTATGTGTGTGTGTGTGTGTGTGTGTATATGTGTATGTTAGACCAGTTTATGTGTTTATGTAGTATGTTAGACTAGTTTAAGTGTTTATGTAGTTAATAAAACCTTACTTGTATCACACTTGACGTTTTCATTGTTTGCTCATAACCGGAGTCACTAATCATGCAGATTTACGTTACAAGCTTGGTAGAATTGTACAGTAAGAAAGTTATTTCCCTTAACCAGGAAATTAACGTTCTTAGAATTGACAAGACAGTTGACCCTGAGTGGTCAGCTAAATATCTACAGCGGATCTAAAATATGAATACTTAATTATAACTAGTTATGGTTAATTATTCATATTTCCTGTCGTTGAGCTAAAATTTGCTATAATGCATACCATGATTCATTGCTTCAAATTAGTTTTGTACACCAACATAAACTGTCAACATAAGCATTTCTTTACAAACCTAAAGTGTTAGTTGGGCAAGATGCACCAAGTCTGTTATTTTAGTATTAGAGATACTATTATTGATTGTATTAATATTTTGAAACGCTTTTTATTTTTAGTTCCTTTTTTCATTTTAGTTTAAAGCAAATTAATGTATATGCATACGACACTGTTTACTACATAATGAACATTACTCATTAATGTTTTAGAGCCTGTTCTCAGTTTGGCACATAGAGATTACTGACATTGTTTTGAACAGCTTCTTCGCCATGACACATGTGGCAGGTGTTACAGAGCTGACGAGACGTGAGACGTGCGGATCCATCTGCAAGGCTTTATTGTGGAGAAGACAGAGACGTGGTCATGAAGCAGGCAGGGTCAAACAGAGGCAGACAGGTATATGGTGGGCAAGACACAAGAACAGTCCTAGGGCTAGCGTGGGTCGACGATGGGCAGACGGGTCAGAGTCAGAAGGGTCAAGACTAAGGGAGAAATCCAGGAAACCAGGCGAAGATCAGAAACCGGGAAAACAGCTAGGCTAGGGCTAGGGCTAGGGCTAGGGCTAGGGCTAAGGACTAAGGCAAATGACTAGGACTAGGGCTAGGGCTAAGGCTAATGACTAGGGCTCCGTAAGGTAGCTATCTCTAGGAGAGTGATAAACGCTGAAACAATACTCGGCAGAGGGAAGGGATCAGAGTGAGTGTTAAATAGTGAGGGAGTGATATGAAACAGCTGGGTGCAATCAGTGTAAACAGGTGTGTGCAATTCGTGCTGAGTGCAATCAGTGCAATGCATGATGGGAAATGTAGTCCGGGGTGATGTGCAACAGTGTGTAGTGCGAGAGTCAATGAATAGGAAAGTTCGTGGACCGGATTCGTGACAGCAGGTATGTCATTATACACTTATTGCTTCTCATTTTTAGCGTAACATAACGTAGGTTTAAAAAAACGTCTCATTCAAAGTCTCATTGGATTCAAAGTCTAACTTAAACTACGACAAAGAATTAAATGAATCAGATGAATCAAATCAATAAAAATTGAGTAATATAAATAAAAAAAGTATTTCATCTCTGAAATTGTTGTTTTTGTCATTGCTGATAATTACAATAAAAATACATATTCAATTATAAAAATGCCAAATGCATTTTCACTCTCATACTTTTGGACCCTAATGTATATCTCATTGTTTTTATATTTTAAAAATAGCATCTTTTGATTAATCACAACTACAAATTTGCTGAAAATGGAACAGAAAGTGCATCTAAATGTGCCTGTCTGATCAGAATGTTATGTCTGCTCTTGAAGGTTGAGTTCAGTTTCTTTGGCCGTGCAGCAGACCACAGCCTGCAGCAAACTCATGACCTCTCAAGGCCGAGGGCGCTTCTTCATACGGCTCATGCTGATGAGGAGAACCCTGGGAAATGTAGTAAAACACCTGCTACACACAAACAGAGTAATCGAGGTTAGTGGACACGCACAAGTGATGATTGAAAATTGTCTTTTACAGACAATCAACATTATTGTAGGCATGTGGGGGTGTGTTAGAATGAGCCGTTTTAGGTAGGCGTGGTTGACTCTTAACTTATACATCACAACTTATAGAATATCTCTTTGGATTTGAGACTTTAGTCTTTGCAACTTTACAGATCTTCTTTATGCACCAAGAGCCTGTAACACTCCAAAGAGAAAGGAAAAATTTAAATCGCATCATATGACCCCTTTAAATTGCAAAATTTTAATTTTTATCAAGTATAATAACTCGATTTTCCAGTGAAACGACAACTGGTCATGTATGCCAGACTTCTTTAATAACTTAAACCCCACCCCTATTTTAATGTGTCATTTAACATGGTCTGGCACATTTTTACGGGTGAAATGCAGTCATTTTAGTAGGAATCCATGCGATTGGGAACTTCGCATGAGGGTGTCGAAATTCAGGTTTCAAAACAAGTTCAAGTTGGTCACATGGATTAATAGCAGTGACCAACAGAAAACTACTTGGTTTGAAAAGGACTTCTATGTGAGCTGTGCTTCATACATCGCCACACATTCGACTTTAGACAATTGGTCTTATTTGTCTGCAAAATTTCACCGCAGCTTTACAGTCAAAGGTGCCATAGAGCTCGATATCTGACTAACAGGCCACTTGTTACTACTTTTCCCCTCCAAAGGCAGGTGTGGTTCTGTCTAAGCTGAAGGGTCAGCCCCTTTCCATTCACTTGATACGTTGGAGAGGAGAAGATGGGTCTATCTATCAGCCACTGGTCAAACACTTACGGCAACTCAAACAGGAAAAACCCTCACTTCAGTTTGGCCCAAAACCAGCCTCTCAGCAGGACAGAACTGCGGGTCAGAAGAGAGGGCAGACACAGTGTGTCAAAGACGGCAGGTACTCTCAATAAAGATTTCATGTATGTTTGCAATTGTATTAGTCTCTAATACCATAAACAGCCCGGCCTGTATCTGTTTGATCATGTTTCGTTTACAGGATCCTGTACGCCGTGCACCTCTTAGGAAAAGCAAACATAGGAATGGTACAGTAGTTGTGTAAACTCTCTTTGTGGTGGTGCTTGTTTAACTTTAATCCATTCATGTGTATTTTTAAGTCAATATGTGATCCGTGTGATTATTGAAAATTAATGTTAATTTTGTTTAATTTTAAGCATGGAGGTAGGGAGGTCCTGCAGAATGTCATTCCTGTGGTTCTGGAGAGCAGACAGGCAAGAAAGGTATATCTACAATTGAGCAAGTGAGTTTTATGTAGAGAGATGTATATGTAAGCTAATTTCAAGACCTATATAATATCGCATGCATGCTTTCTGATTTTGTCATATAGGAGGTACTGCTGGATGTAAAGGAGACTCATCTTACCTGCATAGATAAGTTAAATAAGCAGGTTTGTTTTTTTCAATACTAAATACAAATAACTTAAAGGTTAAAGGTGAGTAATTTATAAATGTATTTTTGCATTTAAATTTTTGATTTTTTTTTTAAAAGTACAATAAAGAAAAATGTTATAGGATTAATGAGATAAATGTACCATTCTACACTACACAAAGTCTCTAATCAAATACTATATGTAATTGTAAACGTATGTTCTTGCTTTCATTGAGGCATAAGATGTTCTTAAGAATATTCTAAAATCATCAAGTGTAAAAATAAAAAGCAATTCATGGACAAACATCCTTAACTGTTATGCCGTTTTTATCATTAGAAATCACCATCACGTTTGGAGACCTTTATCTGCAACTTTGAATTTTTATTTTTTACATATATAACAGTAAGAGAAATACAACTTTGCATATAAATGCCATCAGTACACAAGATTACAAGTCAAATAAAAAATTAGCCAGAGGAAGAAAGAAAACATAAAATAAATAAATAAAACAACTAATATAATGAAGACGGTACAGTTTACTTGTCTATTTCAAATTTGCAGATAATGTTAGAAGTCCTGAGAGCTTTTTTTGTTTTACATTTATATACCATATTACAGTATTGTTTAAATTCGTTGATAAAATAAATAAAAAAATTGGTTTACCACCCGACCACTTCATTTTGTGTATATGAAACTTCCCCATTACAACCAGTAATTGAATAATATACGCTTTATCATTTTCTATCCCATAATCATCAACATCATTATATCAGGCCCACTCAGTTTAACAGCTGTATCAAGTTTTCTTGTAATGAAATTCTCAACATCAACCCAAAATATCTTTGTATAGATGCAATGAAAAAATAAATGAAAGATAGTTTCTTTTTCATTACTACAAATTCCCCAGGAGTAGTCTATCTGCAACTTTGAATTAGAAGCACACCTCGCTCTTAATTTGGGGATTTACCTCTGTTTATTATCTCTGACTTCACTCTCCTACGACGTAGCAAGGTCTGTTCAGTGAACGAGTCGTTATTTTAAATCGATTCTTTTCATTGAATCAGTTCACAGAACAAACCTGAAGCATTCGTGCTCGCACTGGTCCGAGTGGCTCTCGAATCGAACTGTTCAAAAGAACCGATTCGCGCACGACTACGACGTCATCCCAATGGCCCGGAATTTCCTCTTCGCCAGATCTGGCGCATGCGCACATCAAAAAAAAGAGTGCGGACTTCGCAGCTCTCCCAATATTAAATAGTTTGATGGCCATAATTTGATAAATCATGTCGAAAGCACCATCTCAGGCCGGTTCTTCGGGTGCCGCGGCCAACCTAGGACCTTCATCGTCCTCCTCCTGCTCCTCACCCTCGGCAGGCGGCACGACGTCCCCCGCTAACGTGCTTCACGCACAGCCCGAGAAACCCCAGCACTACACGTACGTAACGAAACACCTTTACATACACCTGATCGCTCGTGCAGATCACACATTTCATGCATCAACAATTTTACACGCGTCTGATGGGGTTTTGTGGCTGTGATGAGCTGGATCAAGAGCTGTGTTTTATAGAGGCCTAGTAGTGCGATTGATTGCATGCACTGCATCGAGGTGATGTTTTGAAGAGTGCACTTGAGCATCCTGGCAAAAGCTCTGGCGATTTGTAAACACAATAAAGAAGGCGAGCTATAAAGTGCTTAATTAGTCTAAAATGTTATGCATCGTGAAATCATGGTAAAAAAGTGTGATCAATTATTTTGATCTCAGATCACTGATGAAGCAGTGTTCACTACTATATAAAATAATTAAATATTTTATAGTAATTAATTCCATTAACAAAAACGTATGTAGTTTATATATTTAAATATTTTAGAACTGTATTCTAAATTTATATTCATCACTACAAACCAAAGGTGCCCAAATTTTTACTACAAAGGGCCAAAAATCAAACTTTATTGATGTCCATGGGCTGAAAATAAACGCTGCATTACTGTATATCCATCTATATTCAAATTTACATTTGTAAATTCATTTTATATTCTCTGTTTTCTAATGCATCATGGCCGTAACCACTAGGCCTGTCACAATAACAGCTTTTTATTGTGCGATTATATTGCCCCAGAAATAATTGCGATAAGCGATATTATTGTCATTTTAAAGACCATTTTATGCCACTGAATATATAATCATAATGTAACGGCATAATAACGCAAGAAGGCCTACACACTTCCAAATGACAACAAACTTTACATTTTTAAGAATATTTAGATCATGTAAATTAAGTATCAATACATTAGATACCTTAAAAAGCTGAATAAATAGTAAAAAAAAAACATTTCTAACAAAAAGTGCAAAGTAACAAGTAGAAAAAAAGAAAAATGCACAAAGAACTTGTATGGAGATTTTTCCATCTACTGATTTTTCCCTAGCCTTCTTTTCTCTGTAAATGAAGGGTGCACACTATTGCTGAAAAACACAATCACTACTCAGCAGTCAGATGTCCGTATGCACAAAGGCACAGATCCCTAAACAAGACCATATCTGCAGATTAAACTTTTTTTTTTGTAGAAGCATAGGCCCACTCAGTTTAACAGCTGTATTAAGTTTTCTTGTAATGAAATTCTCAACATCAACCCAAAATATCTTTGTATAGATGCAATGAAAAAATAAATGAAAGATAGTTTCTTTTTCATTACTACAAATTTCCCAGGAGTAGTCTATCTGCAACTTTGAATTAGAAGCACACCTCGCTCTTAATTTGGGGATTTACCTCTGTTTATTATCTCTGACTTCACTCTCCTACGACGTAGCAAGGTCTGTTCAGTGAACGAGTCGTTATTTTAAATCGATTCTTTTCATTGAATCAGTTCACAGAACAAACCTGAAGCATTCGTGCTCGCACTGGTCCGAGCGGCTCTCGAATCGAACTGTTCAAAAGAACCGATTCGCGCACGACTACGACGTCATCCCAATGGCCCGGAATTTCCTCTTCGCCAGATCTGGCGCATGCGCACATCAAAAAAAGAGTGCGGACTTCTCAGCTCTCCCAATATTAAATAGTTTGATGGCCATAATTTGATAAATCATGTCGAAAGCACCATCTCAGGCTGGTTCTTCGGGTGCCGCGGCCAACCTAGGACCTTCATCGTCCTCCTCCTGCTCCTCACCCTCGGCAGGCGGCACGACGTCCCCCGCTAACGTGCTTCACGCACAGCCCGAGAAACCCCAGCACTACACGTACGTAACGAAACACCTTTACATACACCTGATCGCTCGTGCAGATCACACATTTCATGCATCAACAATTTTACACGCGTCTGATGGGGTTTTGTGGCTGTGATGAGCTGGATCAAGAGCTGTGTTTTATAGAGGCCTAGTAGTGCGATTGATTGCATGCACTGCATCGAGGTGATGTTTTGAAGAGTGCACTTGAGCATCCTGGCAAAAGCTCTGGCGATTTGTAAACACAAT